TAGCACAAAGTAGATCTACTACGTAGATCTCAGTTGTAGATTGCATTTGTAGACCTTATTATCAGTCTACTTCTCCGAATTATACCTCATATTTAGTCTACCTTTCCAAAGTAGACCTTATTTTCAGTCTATCTCTGTGTTGTTCATCTACATCAGTTCAAAATCCAATTTTATAAAACTCATGTAATAAAAAAAACAGAAACCATGAACACACTGTGAGTTGTCATTAGCTTACGCAATGAAGGCGGATATGTCCCGGTTGCTGCACTTCGAACAACTATAAACTCTATCAAGCTATGAACCTACTCGTTGGTGATGTACATATGAGGAAAGTCTGAGGGTATTTGATGGAGCATCACATTGGGTAATTGATAAGATAATTCCACCATGTCTGCTTCCATATCCAACATATAGTCAGCTTGTTCCATTCTAAGAGGCTCCTTATGTGTACAACCATCCCGTAAGTAGAACATTCTCCCTCCTTTTCCTTTGTCCATCTCAAAATGCCATGACTTGTCTTCCATCACCATCCATTTTCCATAAACGGAAGCTAGACAAACCATTACCTGCAACAAAAATAAACCAGATCACAAAATGGTTAGTAGACAGAAGGTGTAGACCGACAAGGTAGACCCACAATTTGGTCGACCAGAAAAATAAGCTAGTTACCTAATTCAAAAGAAAACCGAATATAACCTTAATTACGCCGAAAGAACATTTCAAACTCACACAGAAGCAAATAAACAAATAAAAACAACTAATTGTTCGAGAAAATTTCAAAATATTTGATATATTGAAAGGAAAACTACATTTTAAAAAACACATAATAATAGACCTAAAACGTAGACGTTCGGAGTAGACGTTCATGGTAGACCTCCACTTAGGTCTGCTCCACGTGGACGGCCACGTGGAGGGTTAGTTTTGCAATTGATCGAGAAAAATGTTTTTTTGGAGGTCTACCTTGTCGGTCTACTACACGTGGAGGGTTAGTTTTGCAATTGACCAAACGTTGACTTTTACACGAGGTCTACCGTATACGTCTACCAGAAAACGTAGACCTCTCAATCGGTCTACAAAAAAAAGTAGACCTCTTAATTAGTCTACGCCTTAGGTCTACCTACCGAAAACAGTTTGTTTTGCCGTTGACTCAAGTTTGACTTTCCTCGGGTAGACTTCCGTGGTAGACCTCAGTTTTTTGCGTTGACCAGTAGACCTCAACTGCAGTCTACCAGACCTAACGGTAGACCTCAATGTCACAAAATCTCTCCTTTTTGAGGAAAGTCAAACTTGAGTCAACGGCAAAACCAACTTTTTTTTTTAGGTAGACCTAAGAGGTAGACCTCCGAAAAACATTTTTCTCTATCAATTGCAAAACTAACCCTCCACGTGGAGTAGACCGACAAGGTAGACCTAAAAAAAAACATTTTTCTCAATCAATTGCAAAACTAACCCTCCACGTGGAGTAGACCTAAGTGTAGGTCTACCACTCATTTTTTTTGTTTGCAAAGGAAATGGTACAGTCAACTCTGCGTTGACCAGTAGACCTAAACTCAGGTCTACTATGTAATGGTAGACCTACAATTCAGTCTACCTTCGCAGACCAAAACTGAAATTCTTAAATTTTGAAAGAAAAGTTACTTCTCGATGGTTGATAACTTCAATTTATGTCTTCAATTACGAGTTCCAGTATCACTGTAAGCTAAACAATTGGAAATGCCAAGACCCAAGATTTAAGTTTTCTTTTAAGTTTTTGGGATGAATATGGAGAGAAAATGGAAAGAATAAGAGTTTGTGAGATGAAAGAAGGAGCAATGCTAGCTCTAAAGTGAGTTTTCAGAGCATTAACAGCTCCAAATTGGGTAAAAATGGTGGTTGTCAACATTGATGATATGGCTTTTTGGCAATTAAATGTAGAAGATGAGGGGTGTTTGGTCTTTCAGCAGATTTGGTAGACCTAAATATCGGTCTACCAATCGAAAAAGTAATGGCATTCCGTAATTAATTGAAAAAACTGGACAAACTTAAAATGAAAAAAACAGAGGTTATTTTGCATTTGACCACAATTTTGGGTCTACATGTGAAACAACCCTTTATATAATATCAAATATATATAATTGAAGTATCGAATATTTCAGATCCAAATTATTCAAAAATCTTCACTTCAGATATATAAATTGAGTGGTCGTATATATGCGTGTGTATATGTATATTACACATACACATGACCGTGAGAAAAACAAATCGGACTACATTTGTAAAGTGTGTTTCACATGAAAATGAAAGATAAATTTAAAGAAATACACCTTTTGTGGATTCCACTTTCAAAACTTGTACATTTGTTTTCTCTCTGATATAATTTAATAAAGGCTGTTGACAAAAAAATATAATAATAATAGATTTAATTTTTCCGAAAGCAAAAAAAAAAAAAAAAAAAAGCTATGCATGTGGAAAAAGCTAGCTAGTGAGAGAGTTAGCATGTTTTGTTGACATGTCCAAACACCAAACTAATCTAACGAACTACCACTACCACTACATACCCGCACTACGGTCTATCACTCTCATAACTCATAACACACAATAAGCAAAACAAAGCCTATTGTCTCAAATGAGCCATAGAAGAAGCAAGTAGTCAATTTTTACGTAACAAACAGTTCGAATCGATTGAAGACAAACTTCCACTCCCAATAGTACCCACCCGATCTATGCATAGTGACATTGTAGCTTTCTTTTATATATATTTATATATATATATGTGATATTATTTTCTTTATACCGCAAAGTTTCATAGTCTCTATGAATCGTAACAAGTATTTCGTAAATATGAAAATGTTGCTCTTTCACTTCCATTTCCAACACTCGCCTTCGTATTAATAATTGATTTGAAACTTCTTTGAGTTACCCAATCTTTCACAAGTTACGTATAAAATTTTAGGTACAAAATAGTGATGGACGACCATATACATACTACCAAAATATAGTAACACACTGATGACAGACAAAAATGTTAACAATTTTTTTGTCACAAATCTATGAGTAAATACAAATTTCAGGTAATATCATGAATTCACATTTATATATCTGAACCAACTTCGCTGGCTGCAGCTGTGAAATGAAGTCGACCACTGTGGTGATATGTTCACCAGCAAATCAATCGTCATTAGCAAGAAAATAAAAATATATGGCCTTAATCTGTGACACTTTTTCATCGTTGTTCAAAAAAAAATATTAAAATGACAAATTACAGTAGTTGTATATCTATCACTTATTTTTTTACTAGCGACACAATTTTTTCCATTAGTGTTAGCATTTTTTGTTTCTTTTGTAGTGAAACCATAATTAGCTATGAAATATGACATAATCATTGGACTATTATTGTTTTGATTGGCACCAAATGTTCGTACGCTATATACCAAGTATAGGAATTATCGATTATTTCCACGCATACGAAGAAACTTGAATGCGGAAATGCTTAAAATTGTGTAAATGCATCTTTTATTGATTGAATCTAGTTTTTTTTCTTACAGAATCACCTTTGGTATTCAACTACCAAAAACTTATTTTGATTCTTTTCTTTTTATTTTGTTGTCAACAATGTATGTTAGAATTTTAAAACTAGTCGTTTGACTTCCATACTTTTTTGGTTGGCTAAATCCATGATTAATTGTTATGATCTAGCTACGTGACAGAAAATTGTAGAGCAAAATGTCGTTTTTATAAACCTAAACCCATTAATTAGAGGATAAAGTAAGAAAACTTGTTCAGCGAGGAAACAAATAATTTTCACAGAAGACGGAAATAAAGTTTTAATTTGGTCAAGCTCACACGAAACTCATGTGAAAGCCTTCGACCTCTCCGATCTTGATATTTACTCATAAGACTTTCTGAGAATCGCCCTGACGCGCGCCTGGTTGGTGGATTTCGCAATCAGAACAAGTTTTCGACTTTTGTTGGTGATATTGTGGTTTTTGTGGTTGGAGAGGCAGAGTTGTAATAACTTTATTTCATCATTATTCACAAATTTTGTATTGTTACTACTATAAGCGTTCTCTTCTTTATCTGTTATACTTATTTCATAGTAATCGAACTCCTATCACAATTTGGACTCTCGGACCCTGTAACATGTGGCATTACGGGAGAGGATCTCTAACTTCTTGCACATGTGGCAAGCTAATAGCCTCGTGGACTTGCGAAATCAAATATTAGTAAATGTTCATGGTTTGATTCTTGAGTCCTTTCGGACGTAGTTGTTTGATTCACATAATGCTCTTATGTTAATTTCAATGTTCATGTCATTAGTTCGAACCAATGGCCCTAGTTAACTTAAATTCTAAAAGATATTACTGTCTTTTTAATTTCAAATCCTTACTTCGTGTAGGAACTTGTAGATTGTTCCCATCAACTTCGACCAAATAAGATTAATTGCCGCTGGATGATTATTTTCCAATGCATGGCTTTTTAATACATGAATAACGCGAAAACGTTTGTACATTATATGATTACAAAAAAAAAAAAAAAAAAAAAAAAAAAAAAAAAAAAAGATTTTGTGAGGATACAAATTAAAGTTACACGTTTTCCTCAAAAATTAATCAAAATTCAGAAGTCACACTCTCTTACGTGGCTGCATACGTGTATACATTCATTTATGAAACTGGGAGAGTAACCATAGTCCATAGATTTATATATAACTCTACTTTAAGAAAACAAAATCACACATCTCTTCTCATCCAAAAATCAAAAGTCTCATATAGTGGTAGTACTTCTCAAATCCACAAATGGATCACAAACTCCTTCTTACACCTCCCAAATGTCTATACACCAAATATATTATAACAATCATTTACTTCCTATCAATATCTCAGCACAATGCCTATTTCATTACTTCATGCAAACAAACACCATACCCTAACGTCTGCGCCCACCACGTGTCCAGTTCACCTCTCAAAACTCTAGACGACCAAACAGATGGGCTCACTTTCCATGACCTTGTGGTTAGCTCCACCATGGACCAAGCCATGCAACTCCACAGCCTCGTCTCTACCGTGAAACGTCGCCGTTCGCTCCACAAACGCGCCATGTCAGCTTTGGTCGACTGTTTGGAGCTCTACGAAGACACCATAGACCAACTCAACCAGTCTCGGAGATCGTACGGTCGAGATTTTTCCGCGCATGATAGACAAACCTCGTTGAGCGCAGCCATCGCTAATCAAGACACTTGCAGAAACGGATTTAAAGATTTTAAACTAACCTCTTCGTATTCGAAATATTTCCCTATACACACTCACCGGAATCTCACTAAATCAATAAGCAACTCTTTGGCGGTCTCTAAGGCTGCGGCTGTGGCTGAGGCGGTTGCCAAGAAACATACAGCAACGGCGTTCACAAAGTTCAGCAAACAAAGAAGTAGCGGCGGAGGAGGTGGTGGTCGGAGATTGATGTCTTCCGACCAGAAGTTTCCCTCGTGGATCCCTCTTTCCGACAGGAAACTTCTGCAAGATTCTGAGACTACGACGAAACCCGATCTTGTGGTGGCTAAAGACGGTTCCGGTCATTACACAAGTATCCAGGCAGCGGTAAACGCCGCAGCCAAGCTTCCTCGGAAACACAAGAGACTTGTGATATACGTTAAAGCCGGCGTTTACAGAGAAAACGTAGTGATCAAGAAATCGATCAAAGACGTGATGGTCATCGGAGACGGCATCGATTCTACCATCGTCACCGGTAGTAGAAACGTAAAAGACGGCACGACGACTTTTCGGTCCGCTACTTTTGGTACGTCGTCCGTGGTATATAGTATATAGTTGAGAAATGTCAAAAATACTTTTTAAAAGCAGTTTTTAATAAATCTATATCAACTCTTTTTACATGTTTCATAAATATATATATAGTAAAATACATATTTATGGGCTCATCCGATTGTAATAAGATTTTTAGTCTTAATAATTACTTTAAATGTTAAATTAGCTAAAGTTCAACTTTTTGGTGCTAGTAACCATTTCTCTCTAGAGTAATTTATTTAAAATTTTATTCGGATATAATTTCTTTTGGGGGTAAAGAATAATATTTTACTCTTCAAACGCAATAATTCTTGGACTAATTTTTAAGGTGGTTTTTTATATATTTTTTCCCGGCAAACACAGCTGTATCCGGCAACGGTTTTGTGGCACGAGGCATAACATTCGAGAACACGGCGGGACCGGAGAAACACCAGGCGGTAGCTCTCCGATCAAGCTCAGATTTCGCAGTCTTCTACGACTGTTCTTTCAAAGGCTATCAAGACACGCTCTACCTCCACTCTCGTCGTCAGTTCTTAAGAAACTGCAAAATCTACGGAACAGTCGATTTCATCTTCGGAGACTCAACCGCTATACTTCAAAACTGCAACATCCACGCTCGTAAACCGATGAGCGGCCAGAAAAACACGATCACGGCCCAGTCCCGCAACGACCCGAATGAAAGCACTGGTTTTGTCGTCCAGAGCTCTACGGTGGCCACGGAGGCCGAGACTTACTTAGGACGGCCGTGGAAGTCGTTTTCGAGGACAGTTTTCTTGAAATGTAATCTCGGAGGGCAAGTGAATCCGGCGGGATGGTTGCCTTGGAGCAGTGATTTTGCTCTGAGGACACTTTATTACGGCGAGTATGGTAATACCGGCGCCGGAGCAAGTGTTTCCGGTAGAGTTAAGTGGCCTGGTTACCATGTTATAAAGACGGCGACGGAGGCCGGGAAATTCACGGTGGAGAATTTCTTGGACGGAAATTATTGGATTACGGCTGCGGGAGTGCCGGTTAATGATGGGCTTTGACTTTGTATGTCGAGTCTTTTGGTTTTTTTGGCATGTGTGTCAGTGTGTGATGTTTATATATAGTTTTGCTTGGATCGTTTTGAATATACAATAAGACATTCGATGTAATGTGGGTTTGGTTTAAAGATTTGCTATACTACATACTTATGTTTTAATCTTTTAAAAGTTAGAATTGCAAGTGTCATTATTTAGAACATGGCTAACTTATAGATTAAAAGTAGCTTTTGTGTAATGTGAGGTGGATCTAGGGAAGGTTAACTAAGGAAAAACTTTACGAAGGATTTGAATAATGAATACAAGGTTTAAAGAATAAATTTACATAATACTAGTTCCAAGATTTAACTAGCTGCATATCATAAATTATGTCTACAAAATAAATAAATTTTGGCAGTTAAACTAGTTATTTGGGCGTCCAAAGTACCAATACAAACGTAAGCTCAAATTTTGCTTGTCAGTGAAATTAATGTGGCGTATCTTATAGTTATAGATTTTAATATATTAAGGTCTGTTGGTCATACTAGTTGGAGTTGGACACTACTTATATATTAGACATTTCTTGTCTAAACTTCTTGTGGCACTTGATTGATAAGCAAAGGTCCGATGATCAAAAATGTGTCTGAATATCCTAATCAGGTATATGTTAGAAAAGAACAAACAATACAATATACTTACGTCAGCTTGATTAATCATTTGATATTTGCATGTCATTAAGAACAAAAATAAGAAGATGAAGAATTGGAATCAATAGTACCGATGTCTACTCGGCTCCATCTATAATTTGGGCTTTGAGAGCTGTTAGATGATCCAGCAGTGTCGCCAACCCAGTCTATCTATAGTCTTATAGCCCGTTCACAATTTTGAGTTACAAATTGGGTTTAAAGACCTTCACAATTTTGAGACAACAGATAATCTTTAAACTTTATAGACTTTTCTCGTCTTCTTTTTTTGTCAACAGCCTTGATAGTTGATACCTAAACTCTAGAGACTTTTGTGTTATATATGTTGAACCTTAAGAAAAAAAAAAAAAATGTCTCATTCATTCTAGAATTTTGACAGAGATTCATATACAGTCAAATACTTCCTTGCAAAACACTAAAACACACTGAAACTGAAATTTTGATTTGAACTTAACAACATGATGAATTACATAGATAAGACATTTTGGCTGGCAATTGAATTTTAAAATTGGTAGGAGTTCCCCCAAACTAAGAAAAGGAAAAAACATGTTCGGAAGAAGAACACGTGTCAAACTATAAGCAATAAATCACAGGTAGATACATGAGAGATGGACCCTTGTGGGATGGTGACTAGAAACCAAAGGACAGTTTTTTCAGTGCGTCTCGTGAATCCTCTCTTCCACAATTCTGATACTTTTTTTGCTTTGTGTGGGCTTCTCTTTTTTTTCTCCTCTGATATACTACGACCACACTTTGACTATGTAAAACCATTCATACGTTTTTTATACTCTGTAGTATATGAGATCACTTCGTAGTCTTTTTATGGAACACTTTTTTCATATTTAACAGCAACATAATTGTTCACTTTTTCTTTCATCGGTGTCAAAAAAAAAATTGTTCACTAAAGATCTTATTGGTAAATCTTCATAAAAAAAAAAAAAAAATTATTGGTAAATGGTAAAGAAAACTCTTGTCGTTTGTATTTGGATTTACGGTTATCATTCATAATAGTTGAAAACTAAATCACCCATTAAATTTGCATTAGTGATATGTTAAAGGTATTTGATGGCATATTCTACTACCAGACGAAACTTTTTTCTTCAGTGACTCATGTTACTGCTTAGCTAAATATGAATAGTTTACAACGGACCTAACTTATTTGGTTGTATAATATATTATAATCATTGTCTTATTGGAAATGCATGAGGCGTAAGTCGGCAAGTGTGACAGAGTTTCTATTATGTCCTTTGTGTGCTATGCCAAAGAAATGGGATTTGTGGTCAATTTCAAAGGGGTCACGGGTTCTTATGTCTTCAACATATACTTCCAAACCATTTATGAATATATGAACATGTATAACTTGGTTTTGCTGTAATGAATTGGTTTGAAAACAACTGGACCAAACATTTTTGGTTTTGAAATTTTTTTGCTATATTGCATGAACAACTAAAAACGACTGATTTATTCACGTGTTCGGCTCATAAGTATTATAAACCAAATATATAAAAATATGAGCCAAGATGATTCACTTCTCATTTATCTGTTTGATGTCCCAAACTTTGATACCAGGTCAATGAAAATCTTCTCATAAACAACATATGTATAATAAGTATTAACGGTTGGCGTATCGAAATTATGAATAATATGTATACGAATCTTCGTTTGGTGAACCAAACACTCTATATGTATTATATAATATGTATTCCCGCACTTGAAACTATAACCATTAATAAATATACACGAAAAATAGTGACACACACTGACATTGTATATAGACACATATATACATATACTGATATATACACACATATATATATTTCCGGAAATGGGTAGAAAAAGGTATGTGTATGCACTTAAACATGTTGCAACCCATTGAATTAGCTCTATATATAGCTTGTCGGGCATTAACATAAAACATCCGTGTATTAGTGGTGGAGTTACAGCACATGCATACGTTAGCCATTAGCCCATTATATACTTCTTTTTATATAATATTATTAGCCATTACATCTCAATAATATGTTCGAAGTTACTATGCAAATTATACCTCAATAATTTGCCGCCAGGCGCACTATGCTCAAGTGGCGACATAATTTGTTAAAGGAGTGTGAATCCTTATGTCTTTAGTTCGATTATGATTTGGGACAAAGTCAGTAGTCGAGGCTGATTGTGTTGTGTAGTCCTTGGTTCTTGCAAAGCAAATTGTACTCTGGACCCCTTTCGGTTGAAAACTTTGTAAACTAAGCTTTCTCGATGGGGTACTTGTCTACTAGCATTGGTATTAGTTCGGTTAATCGGACATTTTAAGTCGGTAGAGACTGAGGTCCGCTTGAGGTAGGCTCCAGTCCTTATCCCCAGTCCATTGTAAATTTGTAATCATTGATTTGCGTTTTAAACTTTTAATCCAATCCATTGTGTTTTCAAGGCGTTTACAATTTTATTTTTCTATCAGTTTTAAATTTCCTTTTGCCCAAATTCTTCTTTAAAAAAATGTTTTATGGAGTATATTATCAACAATCAAACTAGCACACCAGGACAAACTTATCTTGTCTACTGAATTTAAAATTCGAGTGAAGTCAATTTCTTTTTGTCTTTTCCGATTAACAAATTTAAAAGTAAAAGTATTTTCTCAGCTCGCATGCAATTTGGTACATTCATAATGTTTTATTTATTTATTTGAAACTTTCTAAAACGATTCATACATATTGTACAAAACTACAAACTACAAAGACTAAAAGGACAAATAAATATAAAGAAAGTAATATACTACTAATTCTTTCCACAAACTTGTTTCTTTTTCGTATTTTCGACAAACGAAAAGCGTTAACAACTACAATAAACATTCCTATTCCATAACAGCCAATCACAAACAGAGCTTATCTTAATATATCTCTATCATGCACGCGTGAGAGAAACAAAAAAAAAAAAAAAAAAAAAAAAAAAAAAAAAAACTATAAATTTATTTTATTTTCAAGTAAAAAAAGAAGAAGAATAAGAATATCTGATGAACAATGATCAATGTCTCGCCTTATCAACACATCGATTAACCAGAGCCT